ATTTTGCCAGGCACAGAGGTGAGACTGACAGGCCTGTAGTTACCAGGGTCATCCCTGTTGCCCTTCTTGAAGATTGGGACAACGTTTGCCAGCTTCCAGTCAACTGGGACCTCTCCAGATTCCCAAGAGCATTGAAAAATCATTGAGAGAGGTCTCGCTACGACATCAGCCAGCTCTTTAAGTACCCTCGGATGAATCCCATTGGGCCCCATTGACTTATAGGGATCCAGTGGAAGCAGCAAATCCCACGCAAGTTCGGGGTTGGCTGGGAGTTTATCATTCTCACAGTCATGGTTCTCTAGCCCAGTCCCCTAGTCTGGGACCCCCAGAGCCCATTATCGGTGTTGAAGACCGAGGCGAAGAAAGCATTAAACGTCTCTGCTTTGTCTATGTCCCCGTGGACATGGAAGACAGTGGAAGACTGTGATGCTATGGACAAAACAGAGGGGCTGAGAGTCCTATATTCCCAGCTGAAGAACTGGGACTCAGACAATGACTTACTGAGATTCACAGACTAAGTCTTTCTAACATGTATTCTAAAAAGTGGCCTAGATAAATGGCTGGATTGTCAGTGCTAAGAACTCACCTCATCACTCCAGTCAGTGGGAGATACCTGGCCCTTCCAACCATCAAGCTCTTTCCACATCTAACAAACAAAGAATCTTACTGGTGGTTACCAGTGTGCTCATGAGAGCTTCCTCACCTCTGTAGTATTTTTGAAGCGGTGTTCACTGCCTCTGTGCAGCAGAATTGCACAGCCAAGTCTCGCATTCCCAGTCTGGGGTTCACCTCTAGCAAACACTCCAAAGACTTCATGGAGCTCTGGTAGGTAGTCTTGTTCAAACCGGAGAGTTTAACAAAATAGTTCTTTCAAGAGGACAAAGACAAACCCCAAGAATTAGCAAGATTCCTTCCTGACATCTTATTCAGGCAACCAAAACAGACTAGGGAGAAACTACACAACACCACAAAATAAAGTTCAATTGCTATATTAAACAAATTTGTGCAATGAATGATGTAAGTTTTGACTGCACACAGAAATATTAACCACCTAGGCATGCCACATCTTTTAGTGCAGTGTTATTTTCAGACCATTTCACTGGAAGTGAGGTTTGTCTTTTCCATATAATATGACATGGCCCTTTTATCACAAGGTAGTTTTTTAAAAACAAAGGTAACCAAGATCTGGGCAACTTGAAGAGATCAGCAATACTTTCAGGCTACTCCTCATGGGGTCTGGTCCAATCAAATTCTCCTCTGTCTGTGAATGGACAGGCACGAACATCTTCTACCAGACATTATTTTGGCAGCTCAGTGCCATTTAGCTGGTGGGTGGGTCTGCAGATGGAGCTTTACAGGTACCACTACAGAGAGGGATCCCTTGGAGCCACTGCTTCCCTCCCACAGTAAAAGGGACAGATCTTAAATTTAATATCCTTGCTGGTAGTTTATTTGTTACTAAAAAAGCTGAAATTATAGCAAAGCAAGCTCAACTTGTGAAGTGACTATGACACTGATCTCAGTTTGCCCTGTTTCAAACTCTTGAGTAGTGAAAGCTCTAACACTGTGTCTAGCAGCATGCTGCTGGGTCTAGGGCAATGTCAGTTATTGCTATCCCTTTCTTGCTCCCAACATACACTACGCAGAACAACAATCTCAGTGGACGTATGGAGAATGCACCAGCCAGCCAAGTCATATACTGTATCTTACTTTGTCAACTGGTTGTTTCATGAAACTAGCTGCTAGGTCCAGGCACATCACAGCACTGCTTGTCGCTGTCATTTGAGCCATTAATCCCGTGCACTTCACCTGGGATAGCCGCAGATACTCTTCAGCTTTTCTGCAAAACACCCAGCACAGAAAGTCCTCGTTAACAAAACCAGTTACAAGACAGCAAGAATGGCAGGACAGGAACTGATCCAAGGTTTACCTAGTCCAGCACCGCAGCCACAGCAGTGGCTGAGGGAAAGGGGTGCTAAACAGTATGGCAAACACAGGATAATACTGCCCTTTATAATAATAATAATAATAATAATAATAATAATAATAATAATAATAATAATAATAATAATCTGAAGCAGTAGCTTTGCATT